TGAAAACTGTACAAATACTAGGGCAACTTTTACAATAATAGAGCCTCTCTGTGCGTAAAGGACACAGCTTCCAAGTCTCACTAAGTGCCCCCTGTTATCGACTACATCCATGTATTGTTCTTTCTCTTCATTCTCTCATCTTCATTGTCACTGCCTACCAGAACTGCTGTTTCTGTATCCATGATAACTGGAAAATCAGAAGAAGAAAAAAAAAAAACCCTCTTAGAAAATTATGGAAGAAATGCGACCAAAGTATTCCTTCTTGCTGCTCATTTTTGTTAACAACTCCTTTTAGCAACTCCTCCTCCTCTCATTCTTTGTCTCTGTACATTCTGATAAAATACTGGGATGTTTGGGGAGAAAGAATTGTGTCCTTCAAATAAAAAGTTTTTCTTGGAAATTTCATTTTGGTTAAAAAAAAATTCCTTCGCAAAACATTTTGAAACTAGCTACTTCCTTTCTAACGTCAAGTAGCAGAAGATCCCCATAAGGCTCCTCTGATTTACATCCCCTTTATCTCTGTTTTTCTTAGGCATTTCATAATAGGTAAATTATCACCCAGTGAAGCCCACAAGTGACTTGAAGTGCTAAAAGGAGACTTATAAAGTATTAATGTTTAACTTGAGTTATATTTCTAGTTCTCATTTAGAACAACCCATTTCGCTTCACATCTCAGCTTTACACGGCTGTGTCAGAAGGTAATATCTTCCGTGACTTCATAGTCCTTTTGTACTTGGCCAAAAGGATCATACAAGACTTTCATGGATACAAAAGTCCTTTTACATCCATTGGGTCATTTCTTAAACACATTTTCTGAGAGTCTTTTTCAGCCTAGTTGAGAAGAGTTGGACAAAAGCTTCCACCAACTTCCTGAACAATGAAGCTTTAGAGTTTAATAATGCATATTTTGGCTATAGCTTACCAAAGGATAGTGATTATCTTTGACTGAACTTTTAAAGTTGAAGTTTTTTGTCTTGCACTGGAAAAAAGAACCCTCAAACCAATCTGAGTGAGCTTAAATTACAATAATGGGATTATTTTATTTTTCCTAATTGTGTGAGTATTGACCTGAGCTGCAGAGAACATATGTTACACAGTTCTTATTTCTCCTTCTCCTTTTTTGAATAAAAGGGGCCTTATTTATTGTCTTCTGTATGCACTGGAATGTGAGAATGCTGTGTCAAGGCACCAATTATGACTTCAAGGCAGGAGGAAATTAAATATATTTATCCAAGTATTTTCATCTCTGTGGAGAAAGCTGCTGTTGTTGCCAAGTTACTATGCCACCTGAAACAAGCTCTTGGTGGATTTAAGCAAAATATTACAAGTATTGCATTCCTTTGTTTTCTGCATAGCTTGTTGTCTTGGGAAATTACTGTGCTTTGATGATTTTTTTTAGGTAATGGGTTTTTATCCTTCCTCCCATTATGAGTATTATGTTACTATATAGTAAAAAATCTAAAAAGGAATATTATTATCCAGCAGAAGCATGTGGGGCCCGACCTCCCCAGCAGTGCCTGCCTGAGCTGCAGATCCTGCCACACGGTTACCAAGCGATCCTTGGAAGGATTAGAAATTGTGGCAGTGGAACATGCTGCTGTTATGCAGCTTCTATAAATACTTTAAAACAGAGGAACATGAGTGAAAATGTGTCAACATTTTGGAGGTAAATCAAGTTCACAAGAAAAGGAAGTATTTTTAAAAATACTTTGGAGACAGTAGGTAGTAAAGATCATACCTCAACAGGAGAGCTTCAGCTACGTACTGCTGCGTAAATACATTTTCACTTTTTTCCCAAGTTCTCTTCCTTACACCATAAAGATTAGAATTATTTCTCCTGACTAAACCCCAATGTCTTTTAATGGATTTTAATTGTATTCCCCTGTTTAACTCATTTTTAATCTATGTGAAACAAGTAAAAAAAAATCTATCAAACATTTTTAATGTCATATTGTTTGACTTATCTTTAATATTACTGCATTGAAATAAAGTCAGTCTACAGTTCTTTAAAGTGGTAGACATAATTGCAGAGAATGGCAGAAATCAGCATTAGCTAAATTTAGGACTATGATGGTTTAGGGCAGCTGAACACTGAACATTTCTTATCTTCAGTGAGTATTTCTTGTAATAACACTAGATGTAGTGGCTTGACCCTGGCTGGAGGCCAGAATACCAAACAATTATTACATGGCTCGGTGATTTCAGCCCCAAATCAATATAGATCCTGTAAGGTCATTAATATAGATGTTGTGAAGATCTGATCTTTTGCCAGAGATAGCTTTAACACTGCTTATCATGTCATCAAAGACGAAAATTTTGATATTAGAACCTATCGCTTGATTTCAATTAAAGAATGCATTGCTAGTGACAATGCTATAAAATCCATTTTATCTTTTTGAGTACATACCTGTCCTCAATCTATATGCTGTAAACTCATAATTGCCTTTAGAGATCCCTGAAGACCCAGAAATCGCAGAAGAATATTACCATGATGAGTTTGAATCCTATTCAGAAGGCAGTGAGGAGGAGGAGGAGGAGGGTGCAGAAGCGTCTCAGACTGTCTCTAAGACAAATCACCAGGTATATGTGGCCACTGGGAGAACTTTGTACACTTGATACTCCTTTTCCATGGTAAAATTAAGCTTCTTCCGCGTTTCTGTCTTACTGAGGCTACTGAAATTTGGTTTTGTTACAATGTGTGTGTATATCAATACCATGAATTAATTAATGTATGCATATGTAATTCTTTGAGACATTGGCAAGAAGGTTTCTTGCCTGCCTTCAGGATTAAGCATAACACTCTCTTGAGTACCTTAAGGTAGATCATTGCCAGTAAACTTCCTCGTGACTGTAAAACACTCAGAGTCAAGGTTCTCTCGTGTTAGTTACAGGTAAACTATGTTAATACTGAAAGATACTTTAAGTGTAAGATCTAAGTTCCAGCTTTAATTCCTGGGCAAAGATGGGCACGTCCAGTTGCCACTTCTAGGACAGTGTGATGTACTGTGAGCCTAAACAACTGCAGTGCATCACCAGCAAATCTGTAGCCATTCCCAAGAACCTCAGAAAGTGTCAGGGAAGTGAGAAAACTTGGCATTGAAAAGCTTAAAGTAGCTTTACCAGGTGAGGCTGCTACAAGAAAGTCTTAGGGATGGCAATGTGAAGAAGGCTGAAGATTATTAGAAAAGGCACCTAATTTAGATCTGTTCAGAACAAGCTGAGATGAATCTTCTCTCCAGTGATCAAGGCTCAGTGAAATCAATGCACATAAATGCCTGAGTCAGTTCTGAAAATGGATCTTCCTAAGGCAATCAGGGACGCTTCATTGTTCTGGGCCACCAGCTTAAAGCGTTGTGTACAGTGCTTTGAAGAAATTATTAGTCAATTGTAAATCCATGGAATATCTAAGACAATCACTTTTTTTTTTTCAATTTGCAGCACCTTAGGTAAAGCAGAAGTGTCTTTCTGGGTATTGGCACAATCACCTTTTCTTTTTCTTGGGAAGTGAGCGTAATTTTCAGTTTTTCCTTTCTCAATGGAAAAATTCTCCAGCCAGCCTGAGGCCAAAGCAGACATGACTTAGCTGTGCCAATTTGGACACCGATGTGTGAACTAATGGAATGGCAAGTCTGTACAGTAAGGGGGAGCAAGCAAGCATTTTTAGGGAATAATATTATCTTGGTGTAAATATCTAACGTAGGTTAGATGGAATATGCTAAGAGATCTCTCTCTGGTGACTATAAAGGGAGCTACAGTTATTAGCATGCATGGGACATCTTCCTTCTGGATGTCAGCAGTTATGTGAGATAAATCCCACTCAAAGGTAGGTGGGATCATGCTCAGTATTAATAATAAGCTTTAAATCCTACCAGAATAGATTTGATCTTGCTAGTATATAGCAGGGGGTTGCTTCTGCAGTCATTTACTTATTACAAAAACTCCTACTCTTATTTCTATGATGGGATTCATACTCTTCAACCCTTCAAAAACACCTTCATAAATTAAGAAAGGGGTTCTTTTGGAGGTATGTGCTAATAAGGAAGTCATTCTGCTGCAATGCAGGATAAGGACTTCTAATATATTTACCTTCCTAATCTTGCAAATCTCTTCATTTTCCAAAGCTAAGATTACTTTACTAGTTACTTCTGTGCAGAGGGTGTGGAAATGCTACATCTGGTGGTGCTCTCTGGTGACCCCATTACTTCCAACAACGATTAAAAAGAAATCTGATGTTCATGAAGTAACACAGGGTCAGAAAAGTCATCAAGTTGAACAACACATTTGGGTTGCATGATGTAGAAAGAGACCTGAGCTATTAATTTGAGCTATATTAGGCCCCGACAGATGTCACGTCAGACTTAGAAGTAGTGCCTTTATGTGGGATTTAACACGTCCTCAGTTAAAAAGGTAACACTGGAGGCACTTCAGCAATGTTATTTTAAAGATTTAGGATGGAACTGAGACAGCTATTTTCCCCATGTTGGTACCTTTCAATTCAACCTGTGTGTTTTCAGCTATATTGTGTGATTGCAGATGTGGAGTTATCACCGATTTCAGACCCTGAGTACATCTGGACTTCTCATCCTGGTTGTAGCACTGTAATGTTCAGTTTGTTTAAATTCTCTATTCAGTATATATTCTGTATATAAATGTTATGCATTCTGTAGTGTTTCCTGGACACTCTACTGCTCCTTGACAAAAAGCTCCGGTTAAGCAGGTTCAGATTAACTTGATCATCTGAGGTCACTCAGGCATTTTGGCTGAGATGCAGAACTGATCTTAAGGGTCATTTCCAATCCGGGCAATTCTGTAATTCTGTCATTTATCCACAGGACAGTGATATCGAGGCCGTGGTCAAGTACTTGGAGAGTGTCCTGAATAATAGCTCCTTGGGTAAGGTGATATCTCTTCTTTAAATTCAATAGCAGCAGTTATTAGCAGTCTGTATTCAGGACAGTCCAATTATTTCCATTTTGCAACAAAACAAGAAGCATAGTTTCTTGTTCAGTGTTGATGTATGGGTAGGCAAACTGATCAAAACTGGGTGCAAAATATCTTAACTGGGTAACCGCTTCTAAGAATATACCTCTGGTAGAGAAGTCGGTGTGGGTTGTGAATCACCCCAGGAAAAATTTTGAAGCTAGTTGTAGCAAGAACATGAAAAGCTTTTTGCAGTTTTCACCTCATTTTTTTTATGACTAACCACACCTTTGAAACATCCTACGATCTATAGTCCTTGCAGCTGTCTCATAGTACTCAGAAAATCATATTAAATGTAGAGGAAGATAGATACTAGTTTGCATGTAGAGAGTAAGTTTTCCTTGGCCGACTGCCAATGTGGAGAGTAGACAAAGCAGGAATTATGTAGTCTGGAATCTCAGAAAACCCAAGAAGAATGTCTTTAATAATGACATGTCAGAGGAGAAGAAGATATTGTAGCAATAAATAGATTGAACCCACTAAGCTGAAAGAGT